CGCCACCCTGCACGTTAGTGAGGATCCTCTGCTCGGAATGTCTGGTGGCTCCAATACATCTTCCCCTCTTGCGTCGCCTCTAGGCCACAGCGGCACGTTGAGCTCGAGCTTGGAGATTCCGGGTCACCGTGCGCGACTGTTCGGGATCGGTACAATGTCTGGCATTGTCATGCTTTGGGACATGCGTGCTAGCCTCTCTCCCAGTCCCGAGGTTGTCAACACCATCTCGCCAGTCAGGGTCATATACACAAAGTCTCCGCAGATTGCCTCACTTGCTCTCACCTCTCTGTATGTTGTTCACGGAGGTAATGAAGGTCTGGTTCAGGCATGGGATCCGCTGGCGTCCACAAATGAACCAGTCAGGACACTCAATTCTCGATTCTCGGATCGAGCAAGACGACGCATCGCTCAAGCTGAAGCTTCTGTGCAAGGCGTTGGAAACAACTACTTTGCCGCTGGAGCGATTGTCCTGGACCCAGACCCGACAGTGTTGCGGGGCATGGTTTCGTTGGGTTCTTACGTCCGATACTGGTCTTATAGCTCGACTGCCGCGGATGCGTACAAGACGCGCAAAAGGGGCCAGCTCCGTCGCCGCTCAGAGCGCGGCAGCAACTCTACGCCAGCTAGCCAGAAGGTCAGCGCAACCGGACGTGGACTGATCAAGGACTATATCAGTAATGAGAGGCATGAAATGGAGCGGGATAAAGTCGTAAGGCAGAAAGAGCTTGAACGTCTGAGCGGACGATTTGGTACCAATATCTTGGGTGAAGGGGCAAGTGAGGAGGAGCTACTGGCCTATGCTACGATGTTGAGCGAGGAAGCGTTTTCCAGCGATCAGAAGAAGAGGCAGGAGACTTATGGCGACAGTTCGATTGCCTCGCCCATTCCATCTCACAGTGGCGCAGAGAATGCAACCGATGCCGAGCTGGAGGAAGCCATCCGTCTGAGTCTGCTGGAAAGCGAACAGATGTCGTCTTCACCAGCAATGAGCGCTAGTGACTTTGACATTCCCATTCGGTATGCGAGAGGCTCGAGACATGGAACACCTTCGAGAAGTGGGAAGGCTGGGAGCAGCAAAGCAAAGGCAGCTACGCAGGAGGAGGACGATTTGGCATTTGCTTTGCAGTTGAGTCTCGCCGAGGAACAAAGCCGCATGGCCATGGACGAAGACTTTCCTATGCTTTCGAAATCCACGAGTGGTGGATCGGACGGGAGTGGGAAGGGGAAGGGCAAGTCCAGACGGCGTTGAGGGTGTTGGGTTTGTGCTTTGCTTGTGCTATACATTTCTCTCTCGTGTGGTGTGTGGGGGATTGGGTTGTAATATGCGTATCTTCTTCACTGGCCTTTGCGGTCACTTTCTTAGGGGTAGCTTGATAGCTAATAAAGTCAAGGTAAACAAGGAGAAGTGAGAGCTAAGTGAAGCCGAAGCCGGATCTCGGCTGAGCCACAGTCCAAGACTCGGTCTTCTTCGAGCTGCGGTGAAGCTCAAGCTCCCCGATGCGCAGCTCCAGCTTTTCCCCGAAATCCGTCGAGCCGTGAAGCCGTTTTCGTCGCAGCCTCGGCCAACACTCCGCACTCAAGCTTTGACTTAACCCTGCGTTCATCTGTCGCAGTTAGTGCTCCCAATGCTCTCTGTGAGTACCAGACGAGCTCAGCAGCGATGACCCCGTCTGTTATGTCCCTCGCCCTGCTGCGGCGGGCGTCGCCATCGCCATCCCTCTACCATGGCCTCAAGAGACACTTTTCCAACACGGTCGCCCGCGAAGCTTCATGGGGCTTCATTGGCCTGGGTGCTATGGGTTTGTTACCCCTTGCTCGCCTCGAGAGAGAGAGAGAGAGAGAGCATTACCGATTCTGATTCAATGTGTTTATACAGGATACCCCATGGCGAAGAACCTACGAGCCAAGATCCCCGAAGGCGACACGATGACCGTCTTCGACGTCAACACTGCGGCGTTGGAGAGGTTCTCCCAGGAAGCAACACCGACTGGAGTATTCGTGGCAAAGAACCCTCGCGAGCTGGTCGAGAATTCTGTGAGTCTGCACCACTTCGTCCATCCTGATTGCGAGGGCTTCTCCAGTTTTCCTTTACATGATGAGCACCTATTGTTCTATCTATGATCTAAGTTGGGGATGGGGGGATCCCGCAAAGGGGAAACTTCCCCCCGTCCTTTGCCATGATTTCCCTTTTAATTTATAGCCAATCCTCTGAAAAAGAAAAAGAAAAAGCAGTCACGAAAACATTGACAAGCGAAGGAAAAAAAAACACATATAGCCAGGTCAACTGGCCTCAGAAGAAGCGTGATGCACTGACTGTTTATGCCCATTCCCTGGGTATCTAGGACAACATCATCTCGGCACTCCCTGAACCACGACACGTCAAGGGTGTGTTTGGAGACATCCTTGCCTCTTCGCTCCCCAAGCCCTCCACAGAGCAATCCAGGCTCTTCATCGACTGCTCCACGATCGACCCCATCACGTCGCGTGAAGTCGCCAAGCTGGTCAAGGACAAGGCGGGGGCCGACTTTGTCGACGCACCCATGTCGGGCGGCGTGGTCGGTGCCCGCGCCGGCACGCTGACGTTCATGGTCGGGTGTGAAGAGAAGGACATCCCCAAGATCGAGAAGATCCTGCTGCTCATGGGCCGGAAGGTGTGGCACATGGGACCGCAGGGTACGGGGTTGAGCGGCAAGCTGGCCAACAACTACGCGCTGGCGATCAACAACATCGCGTGCGCCGAGGCCATGAACCTCGGGGTGCGGTGGGGCATCGAGCCCAAGGCCCTCGCCAACCTGCTCAACTCGGCCACGGGCAAGAGCTGGCCCAGCGAGATCAACAACCCCGTCCCCGGCGTCATCGAGACCAGCCCCTCCAGCAGGGACTACGAGGGCGGCTTCGGCGTCAGCCTGATGAACAAGGACCTGAGGCTCGCCATGGCCGCCGCGAACGAGGCCGGCGCCAAACTCGCCCTGGCCGACAAGGCCAAGGAGGTCTACGACCAGACCGAGAAGGAGTACAAGGGCAAGGATTTCTCCGTGGTGTATCGCTGGCTGGGTGGGAAGGAATAGAATTACCTAGAAAGAGAGAGCTTATAAGCCTAAACAGAAAAAAAGTGTCAATCGGGGTCACCTTCTACTTGACTCTACTTGACTCGACTCGGCATCTCCCATATGTATGAATGTGTATGTATATGCACTCCTTAGTACTTTTAGTACCTTTATATACCTCGTACAGTACAGAAATACCACACCGAGACACATAGGGCTTTGGTAGACAAAAACATTCATTGTTCGAGCCATGGTTCTCGAGGCACGGTACAGAGTATACATATGTATATCTACCGAGTCCCTCCTCGTAGAGTTCGTGAGTCCCTCGTAACGCGAGCTTGTTAAAATAGTCACGTGAGGACGAGTCCAGTCCCATGTCCAGTCCAATATCCACGTCCAAACCATGTAGAGTACAGAGGTCCATGGTACATACGCGTACAGTAGAGTACTCGGTCCCCGTAGAAAAAGCTCGACAGGCGCCGTGAATAATATTTGTCTTATTCGTTCATCCGTGTCAAGTGACACGAGCACCGAGAGTACTTCATACACCGTAGGGACTCGTTACAAAGTAGTACAGTTCGTCATACTCCACTTGGGCTCCTGCCCCTTTCAACTGAGGAGGCCTGAAATGCAGGGATACGGGATAGGAAATCATATATCCGTTGTACATATACGAGGTATATACCGTATGAGTATACCGAGCACCTCGTCCTTCGTACTCATACATTGAATAGACAGATCCCAATGTCTGGCTCAAAAAGAGCCTGACAATTGGCTCGTTGGTTTCCCCTAACAGCAATATAATAGTAATCTTCTGGTTCTTGTTCTTCTCCCCGCCGCTGCTTACTCTTACAGCCATCCAATAACAGCCCCATCCGTTTCTCGGGTGGGTTGGCGGAGATTTGCCGCTGAGCTTCTCTCACAAAAGCCAGAGCATTGACATGCATCAGCATCATCGAAAAAATAGGGGGCACATCCGGGGAAATCAATGTCGGCACGTCTTGCCAATACGAGCAAACAGGAACGTAGATGCAGTACCGGCGCTGCAGAACGCTGACGGGCAACAGTGGTGTGGATGTGTCTTCGTCTGGCCCGCGTCTCATATTCCAGACCGGTTGGCGCCACATTTCCTCGTTAGCAATTATGGACAACAATTGGCTTCGAGATAAAGGCGAATCGGGGTGCACAGAGTGCCTGCCAGCTGCTGACAGCCTGGCCGTGTCCCCCCGTGCCCCCCTCGCTCTCTAACAGTAGTCATCTTGCTAGAATAGGATTCCCTCTGCCCACAGCCGTGGGAACATCCCGAACTACGAGTATGACTCGTTAGACTAGAGCCGGGTGAAACTTGAGATGGGGCGGCGATTCCCGAGAGGTGCCAAAAGTCCGGACTTCGGGTGCCACTGCGACATCTTCACGTTGCCTGCCTGACCTCATAAGCTAGAGGTTTAGAGACCAAACCGAGAATTCGTGATTTGCTGCAATGGTGCAGGAGGAATCCTGCAGAAACGGTACCGACTCGAGGTGTGCCTTCGACCAGAGCCGGAGTAGGCAAACACTACCGAGCGTGTGCGTGTCGGTCCCCGAGGATGGAGCATGTTGTGCATCAATGACAGGATTGTGTCAACGGTAGGGTCAAGGTACTGATAATGGAAGGAATTATCAATGAGCTGAGGCCTCCAAGGCGGCCGCCAGATAGCAAAACGGCATTCTTTGGACATGGTCAATCGCGCGTTCTGTCAAAACCACTTTCGGTCTTGTTCGTACCTCGAGGATCCGAGGAAAAACTGATTGGCTTTCGAGGATCGTTGAATCTCGTTGCAGACAGATCGTCCAAACGAGATAACGCGGAGCTCGAATCGGGAGGAGGACTGCTTCCCATTTGGTGGCCAGTTCATAAACCTGTGAGGCTGGGTGTGTCGGCGTGTCTCTGTTCGACGCAGAGGTCGTTCTCGTCTATAGAATGACATTCCGAATAGCCATGGTTGCGATACGAGAATCCTTCTCTTCGGATTCTCCTCTTTCCTTCCTCCTTACCGCCTCGTCATAAGCCTCCTTTGCCAGGAGGCTGATAGGATCCTCGAAAAAGAACATTTTTAATTCCTTCTCCAACCTTTTCCATTGTCGAGCTTCGCCGTAGTTGTCCAAGAATTGTCCCATGACAGTTGTCCAGCCACGGGGACGAATCTGTCCATGCTGTATCACAGTCGCAATCATCATATTCGTCCAGAGATAACACTTGCGTTCCGGCGCTTTGTGACTGGGCGTTTGGTGCAGAGCAATGTCCGCTAGAGCTTTCAGAGCTGTCTCGTAAAAGCCAGTAAGATGATCTTGAAAGTGAATCACTCGCAACAGGTAGCAGTATGCCACCAGACCGTGAGATAGAAATCTCTCTGTAGTGGTGGTTTGCAGAGTAGCAAGTCGATGAAGATCTTCGAGGGTCGTCTGGATCTTCCTTCTCGAGGTGACACCGAATTCTTCGACGCGGATGGTATCCGACAATTTCGCCTTCACCGTGGCAAAATGGGACAGCAGTCGAATCATTTGTAGCGAAAGCACCCCCGTCAGACCAATGTCACAGAAGCCTTGGGGCAACTTGGACAACATCTCACAGACTTCAGGTTTGAAGGGATGGGCCATGTAGACGGGGAATTCGGCATTTTGGACCAGTTCTCCAGAGTACCGAGTTGACTTGTCAGGTGTCGAATCTGCCGCAAACAGAAACGACCATAGCGCCTCATAGGCGTCGATATTTGCCTTGAGCAATCGTTCCCAAGGTGTAGCACCGTTGATCCCACCCCTTAGCCTGATCATCTGCCTCATACCCGAGACATGAGCGTAGGCACCGGTGTGGTCGCCCAGAATATAATCAATCGTTCCCAAGGTCGCCACGACGAGGATGGTAGTATCGTCTGAACACTGTTGAGGATCCTGAAGTCGAGAGCGCAGTTTAGTCATGACATTTCCCCGGTGCCATACAAAGTGTCGGTCGCCACGAGCGGACTGGCCCGAAGTGGCGAGGTATGTAGCTCGACATAGAGCGATGAGGCCCTCAAAGTAGATATCGGATGACATGGCAAAAGGCCAAAGCAGGCTCACATAAGGGTTAGAATGACTGTCAAAGGCAAATGCGGTGCCATGCTGAGGCGCCCAGACCTGGACATCTAGATCCAATTAGACCAAATGGGACAAGGAGAGATTGTCGTTCGATCGACTCACAATATTGGGCCATGGTTCCCACGCAGCCAGTGCTTGGGATGGGCAGGGTCTGGAAAGGATCAAGCTGGAGTCCGTTGGAGGGAGACCTTCTGATTTGTAATTGACTGGCAATGGCCTTGGACAGAAACTCTTCCTTGGCCTTCTTCACCTTGGGATCCAAGTGCTTGAGGGAGATAGCATTGCGCCGCGGTGATCGAGGAACCCGTCGCCGTTTGATGGCATTTTGTTGCGCCCAGGATTGCGGGGTGGTGATCGAGACAGTCAAAACCGGTTCTTGCATAGTGTCGGAATGCATAAAGTCGCTATGTATCCCTCCAAAACTGCGAGCCTAGATCATCTCATATTGCATCATATGAAATGGGCGCGATGGACATGAGGAGCGAGTTGAACAGACGGCGTGCGTTTGACCATACGTGATGAGGAAGAAGAGGACGACTGTGACTTTGTGCGCCTGACGGCCCTTCTAAAAGCCCTCCAAATGAGCACACAACCTTTCCTGCGCCACCTTGGACATTTGCTGCTTATTTGATACGGACGAGTCAAAGGGGGAGAAAGGGGTTGAGCAGTCCCGACGAAATTGTGCCTTAGCGGTGATTGTAGGGTGTGGGTAGGTCAGACGGTTAATGAATGTCGAGCAACCGGAAGCGAAGGCGAGGGCGAGGGCGAGTAGTAGCGGGAACAGGACGATGGTGAGATCTGATTGTTTTGTCTTACAACAAGCGCAGTCTGAAACAAACGAGGGGAGGCAGTACCAAGTACCTCGCACTCGTGCCTACAAGTACTCGGGAGGTACACAATAGGTAGAGTATGGGGCCTTGACCCCCGTATCAAGTAATTATACGGGTTGGTTCGATAGGCCTGGAGTGCTTCTGGTGCTTCCCCTCGTGCCCTCCTAGGCTTAAAATTGGTGACACATTTCCGCGGTGGGTATGGGTGACAGCGGCGGCAGCGTGGCCAAGAGCCTCTTCTCGGAAGCCACTCGGTGCCTCTAAACGAACCAGTCAGAGGGGGTTGATGGTCAGGAGGGGCGACGCATGAGTTATCCGGGCGCCTTAGTCAAGAGTGGATTGTTCATTATATAACACTAACCATCCAGCTAACTGGGCGTACTGGGCTTGGCTGTGGGTGTTACGGGTAAGAAACGGGAAAGTATGGGCGCCCAGGTCTCGGGTTAAGCCTCTTCCAGGCACCTCTCACGTTCACCAATGATGCCTAAAAAAGATTCACCTTCTCCGTTGCCTCCCACTAACTAAGATTTGGTTTGCCCTTGGACACTACATCACTGTGCATTGGTGGCCTGTATCGAGTCACCGAGTCTACCTGTACTATGTATGACTACATACATATATCAGCCCTGGGACGACGAGGGGAAAATCCTGCATTTGTATCCTTATCCAACACATGCACCTATAGTCTTCAGGGGCCCCCCATGATTACTCCGTCCTGTGGGCACGATACTGCACGTATTCCGTCTACACGGCACAACACAAAATGTCCGCTCCCCCAATCGGCCTCCAGTTAATGCCTCCAGTTAAAAAAAGGTCGCCCACATGGCTAGGTCTCCCCTTCAAGTGCATCTGTTACGTTTGTCGCTTCATTCCTTCGTTGCCCACTTCCTGCCCGTCATCTCCCCAGCCATCATTACTCCGTATTCACATGCCTGATTCGTACCTGCCATGTTTTGAAGGTCAAAAACCAACTTGCAAATTCCAACCTCAACAATCATCAATTCATCAATTGCCCACTTTAATCCTCTCTGTCTTTCCCCTCTCCACTCTCTGTGTTTGTTGCATTTGGTCAAGGTGTCTGAAATTTGTCTGCTCTCTCATCCGTCATTGTCTGTGCTTTTGTTTCTCATATCCTGACTGCTTCCCAATACCCTGTTCGTCCAGCCATGGATCCTCGATGACCGCCCTCCGTCATGATTCTACGGCCCTCGAGAAAGCTCGCTGGGCCAATGTATCGTCGAAAGTCCGGCCTCATTGCGGCTCTGCTCACCCTGTTTCTCTTCCTCCTTTTCCTACAAACCCGAATTCAATATGATGACGCTGTTGAGCCTCCTCCACTCACCCACCCTGAGCCTGTCCCCGAAGCCGTGTCTCAACACAAATCCGAGCCGAAACCGCCGGTCAAGATCAAGAACCCCCTCCTCGACAGCCAGGCTGCGTTCTGGCGGAGTCTCTATTTGATCATCCTGAATAATGATCCCAATTGCCGGAACGCTCCCGACCTCGTGGTACCGCAGAAGCTCGATATTGGCTTCGATCCCACTCACGACCATCCTCGACCTGATATCCTGTACATGGATACCGCCGACGTCAAACGCATGCGTGAGGCTCATTCAAACTTTGTCAATGACTTGAAAAGCAATCCTCCCAACATACCTTATGAGCCGGGCACACGTGGCATTGTCATGACGGGGGGCTTTAGCCAGCTTCCCGTCCTGGTTATATCTGTTCGCATGTTACGAAGGGCCAAGTCTGAGTTACCGGTTGAGGTTTTTGTTGCCGATCAGTCTGAATGGGATGAGCAGATCTGTAATGTTGTCCTACCGGCCCTCAACGCCAAGTGTCTTCTCCTTTCCGACATTTTCCATGCCGCCAGCGCGGGCGTGTCGATCGACCGATTTCAGTACAAAGTCATGGCTATCCTATTCTCCTCATTCGAAGAAGTCCTGTTGCTTGATTCTGACGCCTTTCCGGTACACAATCCTCTTCCATTGTTCCAGGAAGAGCCCTTCAAGAGCACCGGATTGATCGTCTGGCCGGACTTCTGGTATGCCTCTGAATCTCCCTACTACTTCGAAATTGCGAAAATCGACAGGATCCCCTCCTTGAATGAGCGAGCTGCTGTCGAATCGGGTGAAGTCATGTACTCCAAAGCCAAACATCAGTTGTCTCTTCTCCTTGCGGCATATTACAACTATTACGGGCCGACCTACTACTATCCCCTCCTCTCTCAAGGTGCCCCAGGCCAGGGTGACAAGGAGACGTTTGCTTGGGCAGCCACGGCCCTCAAGCAGCCTTTCTATGCTGTCCATCAACGGGTCATGGCACTCGGCCGGTTTGACTCCTCTGGCAATTACCTTGGTAGCGCTATGGCTCAGCATGATCCCGTGGCTGATTATGCATTCACGAATGCCTATGGTCCTCCCCACGAGCGAACCCAAGACATTGGGACTGGAAAGGACAACCATTTCGACATTCAAGCTTCGGACGTAAAGCCCTTTTTTATTCACGCCAACTTCCCCAAGTTTGATCCGGCCACCATCTTTGACCATCAAATGGTGGATTTTTCCGGAGAGGTATCTGGCGCTGGAGGCCCCACTCGAGACACAAACGGCACGAACGTACGTTGTTGGATGGACAAAGGTCGTGCTATCGAATTATTCGGCTTCGACGTGGAGTACAGGTTCTGGCAAGAAATCAAAGAAACTGCTTGCGAGAATGAGCACCAGTTCGGCACATGGAAAGGCAAGCGAGGGATCTGCGCGAGAACTCAGAAGTATTGGAACGACGTCTTTGGTTCGGATGCTGCACTTGAAGACCGGCAAAACATGGGAAACTCGGTGGAAATGCCTGCGCCCCCTTGACAAAAGTCGCCGCATACTCAGGCGCGGCCTCTGTCGACTCGTCCGCACACCTTCCCCATGGCCGAGCACACACGATTCCTCAATATTGATAATAATGGGCTCATCCAAAAGCGCTCCTTCACAAATAAGGGCGGCTGAGTTTTTGTACATTTTTGGGACGCACAAACAACGATTAGACTGAAGGTATTAGCGATTTGATCCCGGCGCCATGGGAAATTTTGAAACGATGTCACGATCAAGATACAAAAGGTTCACATGGAAATACACGATACCATGTATAGATATGGATGATATGGGATAATGGACTCTGTTGTCACGAGCTGGGTCTCTATGTGAGGTACTCGAATGAGCCAGATGGTAATAGTCTGAGAGTGTTGGTCAGGAATGTGTGATATTTGTTCGAACAAGCACCGACCAAACCAACGACAAGTACATAGGACATAGCTTGATCTGACTTTGAACAAGACATTCCAGCACGGCTTACAAGATAGTGATGCTGCAAAGGGCTGTTCCTGAATGAATGACCTGGACGAGCGAGTGAGTGGTCGAGTAACTGTGCGCCGCCAGACTCTTCTCATTGCCGCAATCGAGATTTTTGACGATGCCATCCCCTCGCTTTGAATGTCTGTTTGTATCTCAACGATAGATCATCACACGTACACTACAAGAAGAAAGACCAGAAAGACATGGGCAGGCGATTCAGCCAGCACAGCCAGCATCATGAAGCAGATCTGGGATGGTATGCTATGCTATGGATGGTATCACACCAGTCGAACCAAAATAGAAGATTTGATTGAGTGACTGAACGATTGATTGATTGATTGATTTGGTAGTCTCTCTCTCTCTGGTGCCCAAAGAAGATAACAACACTTGTCTCTGAGAAGTCTGGAGCCCGAAACCTGCACCTGAACCCATGTCCCATCTGTTCCATATCGACTGTGACTGTCGACGACAACCGGTAAATGCCAGCCAGCCAGCCAGCCAGCCTGGACTTGACGCCACTATTAACACAGAACAAAGCCAGACCCAAAAAAGCACATATCCGCCCATAGAGATTGGTTGCCCAAACAAGATCCCTCACTAATACGACTCCTCGAGTTCCGTGCTCCATGCCGCATCGCTGCCCTCGACCCTCACAACGCCGCAATGGGCGTTCTCATCTGACATCTCCCTAAATCTCTCCTGCGCATGGCGATACTGAGAGCTTTGGTATCCGGTGTGATGATTCTTCGCCGGCGGTGGCCCCATCTGCCCTGCAAAAGCGGTCCCTCCAGCAGGCGGGCCAGCCGCTGTAACTGGTCGTTTCTGCCCGTTCGTGTTATAGTTCGGACCTAGTGCGTTGGCCATGGGGTTGTGACCAAGTGTTTTCGACGAGTAGTAAGTATCCCGGAGGTCTCGTTCAGGTTCCATATCTGAGACATCCGAATATGTTTCCCAGTTCTCACTCCCACTAGCTGTGGTGCCAGTCGTCATGTTGGACGAAGTATTGGAAGTTTGGCGAGAAACAATCGTTGAAGGTGGCGCAGAGGGGTTATGTCGTATGCTCTGACTATGGCTATGTATGGAATTGGACGAAGAATGGGAAGGCTGATGTTGATGTTGATGTGGAACATGAGATTGGTAGAATGGATCGGATTGATGAGATGGAAGGGGGGCGTACTGGGGGTGTTGCTGACCGCCCCGATTGA